TTTTTACATTTATGTTTACTATATTTTAGACTGGGGTTCCTCTAGATTCTGCATACTTTAAAAAAAAGGTGCTATGATGTTGGGAAATGCAGCTACAGCTAATCAAGGCATCATAATGAACCTTTCATTAGTTCAATTATGAAGAAAGATGCAAGCATTCTTAAAGCAAGGTCAGCGCTGCCCTCCCCCCCAAACCTCCCAAGGGAATGGATTACCCCCTGTTACTATACCCCTGAGGCCAAGCAACACAGATCAAGTCACTGCTTATCTTCTGTTGCTGGCTTTGTTCCTATGTTTCTGTACATAGCTCTGCATAGAGGTGCAGGCATCATCTCTTCAGGGAAGCCTATCCCACCTCAACCTAACCACTGAACCTTCACATTCTCACATAATTCATTCCCACAGCTACCACAGCTACCTCATGTATCATTTCCCTCTCCTCTTTTAGATTGTAAGCCCTCAGGGGCAGGGCCCTCCTTACCATCTTGTCTTGAATTGTATTGTAACTGTAATGTCTTCCTTATATTGTAAAGCGCTGCGCAAACTGTTGGCGCTATATAAATACTATGTAATAATAATAATAATAATTTCTTCTGTTTAATAATTGTTCTGATTTCATCATCTTTATGCAATGATTTTCTCTGCCTTTATTTATTGTTCAAACAATGTAAATTGCACATTTATTTTCCTTATGATATGACAGAAAGTCTTCACATCATTATAATCATGCTTAGTCCTCTTTGTTTAATCAGTGAACATTTGTCCTTCTCTTTAAGCCTGTATTTCTGTCTTTATGTCAAGGTGATTTTCTTTGTGTTGTAATACTCTCCCCCAGGACATATATTGATTTTGTGACTGCACTGAGAACATTAATGCAGTTATTATTATGAGTGTTTCATTTGTTACATTGTAGGCTTGTTTTCTTCTCTCTATAAATTGCATTGAATTCAATTAATTTGACAGTATAATCATAAGCAATGTTTAAAGGTTTGTGGAAATATTACTGTTTGATCACTATTGCATGGAAATGTTCATTAGATATTGCCGAAAACTGTGCTTGATATACAACCAATGTTAATAAAGGAATAGTGAGGCGTTAGACGGCACATCAATGGGTAAGATAGAAGCTCTTCTGAGTCACAGACAATTCTCCGTGAGACACAGACAAGTCTGCCAGGTTGTGTCCTACACGTACCTCTTCAAGGGTCATAAATAGATTAGCATCTCTCTGCTCCAACATAAATGTTAGGTAAATAACGTGCCCCGGAACCCCCTCCGAACATTAGCAGTGCAATGAATAAAAAAGCTAGAGCTTTTATCTTTGTAAAAATAAAAGAGGATCATTTTTGCTGGATAACAACACACATACATGTGCAATACAATTTTAAATCCAGTATTATTTCTACTACATATACTACAGATACAGTCCTTGGCCATATTAACTATAGGAACCCCCTTTCCACAATTCGCCACTGAGCATTAAACACAGTCCTGTTCTTTATGCCTGTATCAAGTTCACCAGGAGTAAGATTCCCGACGTATATGTCAGGGAGGAAGCAAATTCATTCTGGAACCATCTAACCCACTAAGCCCACAATGGCCATGTGGTCATCATACCTGCAACTGCACAACTAGAGTCTTTTAACCACAACTATAAACAGGGGTGTTCCTAGGAGCCTAAAACACTCAGGTACCTAAAACACTCAGGCACATAGACAGCAGCATCAGGTCAGAGAATTTTGGCACCCATAAGGACCCTCAAAATAACCTTGCAATGTCTTTCATTAATATTACAAAAGCCCTCTTTGGAACAGATCTGTAATTTCATAAATATGATGCCATGGCTGAAATATAAAAATCAAATACCATTGCTTAAGTAAATAAACTACATGATGTTCTAAAAGTGAATTGTGCATAGAGTAAAATGTTATTGTTCATCAGTTGGCATTGATCTATTAAAGTGTATGTCAAGCTGAAATGTAAAAGCTAGAGACTCTTTTATCCTTAATAGTAAACAAATTAATGATCATTGTTATTAAACAGTATGTATATGGTGCCAACAGTTTGCGCAGCGCTTTACAAAACTAAGGGAGACAATATAATTAACACAATTCTAGTACAGGAGGTAGGAATGCCCTGCTCATGAGAGCTTACAATCTAGTATGAGGGGCAAGTGATACAAAAGGTAATCATTTTTTGGGATGATTTAATGGAAGAACTAAAAGGACGGTTATATCGAGGTGGAATAGGCCTCACTTGAGAGTTGAGTTTTCAAGGATCGCCTAAAGGTGGACAGAGTAGGAGATAAGCCGACAAATTGGGGTAGGGGTTTCCAGAGGAAGGGAGACACTCTGGGAAAAATCCCCTAGACGAGCATGCAAGGAGGTGACAAGAGAGCTGGAGAGCAGGAGGTCTTGGGAAGAGTGAAGGGGGTGGTTTGGGTGATATTTTGAGATGAGGTGGGTGATGTAGGCTGGGGCGGTGTTGTAGATTACTTTGTAGGTTATTGTTAGTATTTTGAATTTTATACGTTGGAGAAGTGGGAGCCAGTGGAGCGTTTGGCAGAGGGGGCTCCATAGCCCGCCGATCGTCTATATGTGCTTGTTTTTTCTCGCCCCCGTAGCCGCCGCCGTTTTTTTTGCTTTTATCATTTAATATAGGGGAAACTGTTTTTTTTTTCAAATTTCTGTAATTTTTCCTTAATATAGTAAAAAATTGATTAAATACCACCAAAAGAAAGCCCTATCTGTCCCTAAAAAATGGTATAACATTAATTTCAGTACAGCGTTGCATGATGGAATAAATGTCAGTCAAAGTACCGCAGCGCTGAATACTGAAAAATGGCCTGGATGGGAAGGGGGTTTAACACCGCGGATGTCAACTGGTTAAAGAGTAGCGGCCTTTGGTTTTAGCGGTTAGTAAATCGTTAGTCATTTTTAGAAGGGCAGTATCTGTGGGCTGATCCTACCAGTCCCCTACTGGCAAAAGGGCTTCCTGTTTGATACCAACCACGTCAAATATAAACGCAGGTCTGTGCTAGCATACTCATATTGTGCCCTTTATTATTATACAGGATTCATATAGCGGCAAAAGTTTGTGCAGCGTTTTACAATATACTCTTTGATGGCGTGCCTTTAGTCATGTAGAAAGCTAGTGTTGCCATAGGCTGACACCCCATGGCAGCCTGTAGGAAAGTGGAGCACAGGAAGCATTGAGGAGAAAGTAATTCCCTACCTACAACTACATCAAGGCACTGGTTGGATCCTTTAGCTGTGACACACCCCCTGGCCAGAAGAACGACATTGGGAAAGAGGTGCTTGTGGTCACATGACCACTGGAATGAACTAATATTTCAGGTATCTGCAAGTTTTTTTGGGCAGTTTTTCCACCGTTTATTTATTTCAGGTTATTTAAAGTGTATTTTATGTGATAGCCTGTTTTTTGCAGACTTTATATAGGGTGAATAAGCATACACATTGCAAAGTATAGTAAATGTAGGAATCCAGTAATTAATTAAAATGCCTGATTCTTAGACTCACTAAATAATTTACCCAAGAAAGGTATAATAAATGGTGAGGAGAAATGTAGTTATCTGGTGAAGATGTGAGAATGGATGTACTGCACAAGATACAAACATATTTCAGAACTAAAATTCAACAATGGTTGAAGTATGTTTGTCTTCAGGATCATTATTGGGATGACAGCAACAATTACTGTACAGGAGACCTAGGGTAGTCAGTAGAAAACCTGGGGCACTACCCCTGGGTGCCAAGTTCTAGCAATGCTGCAAAACCCCTGCCTGCAAGTAGGAAAACAATTGGGGAACACATATTTAGGAACTATCTTTATTGAAGTGGTTATCAGTTTATGTCTAGACAAAATATACTGTATTCCCCTTTCATCTGACCGTGGGTGTGCTCTACAGCAATTTTAGCTGATCTCACTGCAGCTTCATCAGACCTAAACATAAGGGTCACTGATCACTCTGATGACCAATTCTAGCTGTTCACTCCACCATCTCTGTATTAAAAAGTATTTGTTATTTTACCACATTGGCCATATAATGTACATGGTATTGTTAAATTATTTAAAACAGAATACGTTTAGGAGGACAGAGGAGTAACTATACAGGTGAAACTCGAATAATTAGAATATCGTGCAAAGTTCATTTATTTCACTAATGCAACTTAAAAGGTGAAACTAATATATGAGATAGACTCATTACATGCAAAGCAAGATAATTCAAGCCGTGATTTGTCATAATTGTGATGATTATGGCTTACAGCTCATGAAAACCCCAAGAACCCCAAATCCACAATCTCAGAAAAGTAGATTATTACATGCAATCAATAAAACAAGGATTGTACATGGAACAATATCGGACCTCTGAAAAGTACAAGCATGCATATGTACTCAGTACTTGGTTTGGGCCCCTTTTGCAGCAATTACTGCCATTACTTTTGCACGATATTCTAATTATTCGAGTTTCACCTGTATGTGACAGAGCCCCATAACAAGGTTCCTAGATAGCCCTACTGACCTGTAACCTCTTAACCTCTGAAAGGTATAAAAAAAAAAAACAATACAATATAAAACAATAAAACTTTAACATTCTATCTGATTTTGTTACAATCTGACAGGGGTGCATGAAATTCAAAATCATTTGCCAGTTCCTGTACTGCTTATCAAATCATTACGTTGCCAAGAAGTGCTGTGCCCATTGTGCTGCTGAGTGCCATAGCAGTTGCATGTCTTGCTATAGCTAGAGTCACACACTGCTGAAAGTCATATAATTGCCTTCCTGAATACTTAGATATGTGAATTATAAACTGTATCATTGTATGATGGCACAGTGGTATAGCAACACTCCCGAATGCACCAGTGAACGTGCATCAGGACCATTTGCATGGTATGGTATTACACCATACAAATAAGCTGTATGTGGATGGAAACTTATAAATAAGAGAAAAGTTGACAGTGTCTTGTGGAGTAACTCTCACCGGTTGTTGAGCAGGCTCAGTAGCTCCCCCGCATGGTAAAGGTCATTCTTTGTCACTCGGCTGAAGCGGAACTCATTGAGGTTACAGAAGGTCACAGCTGGAAAGGTCATCCTGGCAGTTGAAATCTCATCCAGTTTGGTGACATGCGGGTAATCAAAGTAATAGATGATCCTCTCGGTGCACACAAATAGGAGAAGCGACAAGGAGCCAAGGAAACACAATATCCAGATCATCCGCCGGCATGAGAAGCGCTCGTAGGAGAAGATGTGAGCAATGCCATGCAAAGTGGAGCCACTTGCAAAGGCCTGAAGTGAGACTGGCTGGGGACTACCCAGCTCCTCTGGTTCCTTCACATCCATTCGGGCACTGTAAAGAAAGAAAATGCTGATTCATGCGTTCCCCAAACTTTTAATTTGTAGCATGAACACTGTAAACGCTGTAAACTTGTTTTTGTTTTTAGCCATATATCTAATTGTTATCCTTTTTTAACATCATTTGTGCTTAGAAATGTGAGAAATTGTGCTCAGAAACAAATATTTGTGTTTTACTTTTATTTGTTCCTTCTGTAATAAACATGTTTGGTAATGGTTTGGGGAAAGTTGAATTTCAACAGAAATTTTAGTAAATTAAATATGTCTGGCTCTTCTATCTTTCCTATGTATATGGAGCTATAATGCAGTGTATGAGAAATAAAAACACTAAGGCATCTATTTACTAAAGGGTGAAGAATTTGGAGAAGGCGGGAGAAGTGAACAATCTAGGACAAAATGGCTGATTTTGAAAGATTCTCCAACTCAGCTCACTTTCCAGTTCAGCTATGTTGTCCTAGACTGTTCATTTATCCTGCCTTCTCCAAAATCTTCACCCTCTAGTGAATAGACCCCTAAATGTAACTTTCCACATAGCCAACATGACCAGCAATGTCAGATATTTTCCTTTTATAGACCAGGTACTGTTGTATGCTAAAACTCTTTTTCTGTTGAGAATGTTTAATTGTAATAGTAAAATAACCATTACATTTACAGTTAATCTGTGGCCAGGCCCAAGTATATGTATATTCTATACAAAGAGTAAATCAGCTTAGAATATGACCTAATTGACATATGTAGCTCCAAGTGCAGTGGATCAATTCATTCCTAAAGTTTACAGCAGAAGAACTGAAGTGTTTTGTCCGAGCTAGTCCAGCTGCCCCTTCCAGCAGTGACTCAGCACCTTCTAATCTCTAATGAAAACACAGAGCGTGTGTCCTGAAAGTAGGAGCAGGGTTCACTAAGATGCTGAAAGAATTACTTCTTCATTCCTATGTGTTGCATTAACGTACATGCCTTAATGCACATTGTGTCAGGTGTTAACGTGCGTTGCGTTAAGGCAGCCATGTAATTTTGAATGGGCTGTGAACACACATGAGCAGACTGAAAACATACTGCAGTTTTTCCGACAGAGCACACCACAATGTATGGCATTGCATTACTGTGCATTGTGGTGTGCTGCAACATATGTGCGTTGGGGCTGCATTGCCTTAGTGCAGTGAGTGCCATTCAAAATGAATGCCACTGCTTAGCACAGTGATATGCATTGTGGCTTTGTGTGCGTTACTGCAATGGATCACAAAACTGTGTTTCGGCCCTTATTGTTTATGCTGTGAACTTTGAGGATGAACATTTTCATTATGTTGTTTAGAGAAATCTGGGACTGTTGGTAACTTTTATTAATGTTTGTAGATCCTGAAATATCTTGATATTTGTGCATGTCGATAGTAGGAAAGCATTTTGCTGTATTAGTTTGTAAAGTTACACCCCTTTGCTAATGGTCATTTTCTGGCTACCTGGTTCTTTAATAGAGACTCTTTGCTCATTTATTACCAGATTAGGTGCAAGTTAAGTTTAGTGGGCATAGCTGTTTAAGCAAAACTCATGTAAGAGCATTACATGCTACAACTGACATCTGAGGACAAGACAGAGTGAATTACAGGCAATAGCCAAAAGCAAGACTGGCATTTAAATTCCATCCAATTGCAGCCATCAAAAGGAGCTGGTGATTCCCCATGTTATTTCAGGTGAAGCTTTGCTGCTGTGATAGCAATAGTAATAGCAGTAATAGCAATAATAGTAATATATGCTTTGCTGCTGTGAACTCTTTTGGATGTTCATAGAACCCATATTATCCCTGCTTAAAGGTAATCTGTACAGGTAACAGTACAAACAGTTTAGTTAAAGGCGGCCGTGGATCTTAAGATGAATGAAGTTTAAGTGCTTCCATTATAAAGTCCGCCTCCAAACCACAGGTGTTGGTGATGTACTCAAGGATGCATACATAAAGTAGAGTAAAACGTGGAGCACCATAAAGAAACGTCAGTAGGCCAATCCAGTGACTTTACTTCATCAGATGTTCTAGGTCTAGGTTATACATTCCCATCCAGAAGTCCCAAGGGAGGGGGTGTTTTGAGGCCCCTAAAAACGCATTGGAAATTTACAATGCAATAAAATGAATTTCCTATATACTTGATCAGCCCACTGACTTTTCTTTTTGTGGTGCTCTACACTTTACATAATTTTAGATTTGGTTGCAAGAACAGATATGCGGGAGTTGCCATTACTGTTTCATTTGAGAAGGTGCATGCTTTAGGCTTTCATCTGGAACATTCATTGACCGGACATGCACATGCTTGTTTGAGGTCAGTAACTTGCCAATTAGCAAATGAAGGATGAGGATGACAGTCTACAGCATCAGTCAGTAAGGGCAGACCCACAATTTGTCTTAAGGCACGAACCTTTTAAGATGAAGAAGAGTGCTAAAATGTATGTGTACATGTGCCCATAGAGCCTGGCTCCACCATTTTGAACAGATATACAATTATAAGGTAGGACAGTAAACTAATCTTTATTGTTGCTTATCTTTCTTGTCTTTAGAATGAATCTGTACATTACTTACATTAGCAAATTGCTTTTTGCCATATAGAAAATGCAATCACAGCTTTGTCTCTGGAATGCATCTGTGTATAGGTGCTCTAAGAATCGTAAGAAGACCACTCCATAAACAGAGCATTTTCCTAAAGCAATCAGCAAAATGTCAACATTTTCCATGAAGAAGAGGTAATACTTCCAAAGCTAGTTTATTCTGAATCCCTGCTCTGCTCAGACGTTTGTATGGCGTTTCAGTGCATTTTGGGTTCATCTACAATAGGTGCATTATAATGGACTCAGCTGTATTTTCTATTGTATGGGTAAATCCTATTCACCTCAACAAGCTGAGATGCCCTGGAAAATGAACCCATGCTGCACACTGTATTTCATCTAAATTACGGTAACTTGCATTTAAGTAAAAACACACACATGTTTGTCCAGTAACACATACATCTGATCTAAACAAGCCCTTACATATATTTTGCTGTTTTTTCCTTTTTACACTCTGTTAAATACATTGTTCACATGTATTAAAATGGCCATGATATATGAATTTTACCTTCAATTCCCAGGGGCTTGAACATTTTCTTTAGAAAGGTCAAATTCTTCCAAATACAAGTTTCTATCTGCACAGGTGTGACTGTCCTCAACAGATCTTTTTTATTACTTGCCTTGAAATTCCTTAACTTTGAGGGGGTGAATAGGTATGGTAGAGGAAATAAACACTATTTTTCTAATTTAATTTTATCACTGCTGTTGCCTCCCCACAGATGCATCAGAAAGAGGGAGCTGGCCTTCAAGTTTGTCTTCTGATATTGTCTTTGGGTACAATTTATAACACAATTTTATACAACAAAAAACAATCAGGAACCAGGTATCACCTGCCTAGACCAACTGAAACAGAAGCATCTTTTAAGAGACTCCGTGGCCAGACCATTCATTTTAACGAAAATATTACTATAGGATTATATGTGCATTTAATGTATTTTATGCATGCTATTTACCTATAAACACAATCTTTGTGTAGACATCCAAAAGCCCTGAGACTAATCCTGGGTGCCGCCATCTTGGATGTGATGTCAGCAGCCCCACTAGATTAAAGTAACACGAAACCCAGAAGTTAAATTTTCAAAACTTTCGAAATTTTCCAAGTTCAACTTATTTGTGTATCACTTGGCTGTAGATCCTCAAATCATCTCTGAATTTTGCTGACACTGTCCTTCCTTCTGGAGGGTGGCTACTATAGATCATCTCTGAATTCATGCTGACAGTGTCCTTCCTTCCCCATGGTCCCTGTGCGTGTTGTAAAGTAGCCACTGCTCCAAACTCACTCCTGTGATGGACTACAATCTTACGTTTAGTTTCCTAATTTGTATTGAGATTGTAGTCCATCACAGGAGTGAGCTTGGAGCGGTGACTACTTTACAACATACACAGGTACCATGGGGAAGGAATGACAGTGTTCAGCATGAATTCAGAGATGATTTGAGGATCTACAGCTGAGTGATACACAAATAAGATACATTTTTGTTAATAGTTAGGGTACTTGGATGTATTTTTAAGATTTAACACCTGAGTTTAGTGTCACTTTAAGCGCTCTCACTAAAATTACACTCTATAGTGTTCCTCTTTGCTCCCTTTGCAGGCGAGTACATGAAAGACAAAGGTGCTAGGCCAGCACAGACAGTAATTAGATGCTCCCAGAGGAGTGGGGTATGATGGGCAAGGAGGAAGGCTAGGGAACTGACTCTCCTGGACTAGTCAAATTTTCTAGCAAGTTCAAAGGCACATTGCAAGGGAATACATATTCATTTATGGAAAGGAACACTGCAAGTAAGCATTTGAAATACTTAATTTCTCTGTGCTTGTACCTGCAATGTTTAAAGTTGGTGACAGGGTGTCTTTAAATGGTTGCTTTCCTTCCAAAACAACTCAAACTTTATAGCAAAATGTATTAAAATTAATTCCACGTGCCCCTTTTATGGCATGCTGAGGAGAAGAGATGAACGAGCCAACTATTTATCAGTAACAGAAGGCTGTAGAGTAGACTGTTGTTCTAACTTAGACAAAGTTTATAAATAGCAACTGAAATGTATAAAATAACTGCATATAAAAAACTTGAACATATACATAATTGTAATTAAATGCTATAGCTCCATTTATATATCTTATATGTAAATTGTGTGAACAAGACTTTAGTACAAACGGTATGAATGAGACTTTAGTACAAACGGTATGAATGAGACTTTAGTACAAACGGTATGAATGAGACTTTAGTACAAATGTTTCTACTAGTTATGCACTTTTAACTCATTGACCCTTGCCTATTGTGGGACAGACATGTAGATAGATTTCACAATGTTTATGAAGTGACATTTCCGTGTTTTCCCTTCACAGTTAACTGCACTTCTCACTTCCCAGATCAACCAATACAGGAGTTAATCTGCTTGCAACATTCCTGTACCTAGACCATAATTTATGTGGTTACTTAAATGTGTAAAGCAATAGAAACTTTAATAACAAAATATATAATTTTCCACATTTGTATGGCTTTTGCAATGTGTAACATTTGCTCTGTTTTAGCTGTGGCCATTGAATGGCATCTTTCTTTACTTGTGTCGACGGCAGCCAACGCAATATTACATTTAAGTGGCTCTGGACTCCCAGCAGTGGAAATTAAACACTGTTCATAATGCAGCTTGCTTACTAAAGGGGTAATTCTAGCCTGTGCTCACTTCAAATACCAAATCAGGTTTGTGAGAAATATAAAAAAATAGAAATTTCACCGAAAGCTGATTGGGTCGTTGAAGTGAACACAAACCAGGGTGAAAATTACCCTTTTGGTAAATCAACCCCATATATTTACACTGAATAAAGCCACAGGTGAATGTGAGGCTAGAATTGGCTGCTGAAGGGTTATAACACTGCAAATTAAGTGCTCTGAAAAGGAGGAAAGTCTATGTGACTGTAGGCTTAAATGGGAAAATCTACACATTTATCCCTATTAAGCGAACAGACAGCTACATAAGTGATGCATTTAAATTGCTCTTTCTCCAGTTATTTTACCTTTAAAGGGAAAAAAATCATTTAACGTGACTGTAAATTTGTATCACCTATCATTGTCTTGCTTTATTCTTAAATGATGTTCCCACAGCTAACCTGCATTACATCAAATGATGCACTTAACTCATGATAGTTAATGTCTGCATACATTGAGAGACCAATGATTCCCTATTCAAATACCAACACACATAATAAGAGATAGGCACAAATACAATGACCAACACTTCACAAACACACTAAATATATATAAGAAACCTGTCATATCAATATTGCATGCAAGCAGATATTGTATTTACAAACACACAACTGTATAAGTTTATAAAACACAATAAAAAACAATGAGAAAGAAAAAAAAAGAGGGCTGTTACTGTGGAATAATAAAGAGTGTAATAAATGTCACAGGTTCACCGATCGGAATCCCTGCACACTGAGATGAGATACTGTAGCAGGAATGTGTACACAGCTTTGATGAAGACATGTCCCTTAGCCACCAAGGATAGCTGGACCATCAGCACACCGACACAACAGCCTGCACATCAGAGGTGTAACTGAATGCCAAGGAGGCAAATGCCAATGAGGTTGATGAGACTTTTTTTTTATTCTATCAAACAATTGATCTCATTAATATGCTGCTTAGACACACCTACAAAAAAAATTCTACATTTGCATCCCAAATATCTCCTGTCACCGATCTACCCCACATATACCTTTAATCCCGACAAACAATTAATCACTGGCAACCCTGCAGTGATATGCCATCATAAACAGGCACATATACAGTACCAAAAAAAAAAACAAGGGGTACCATTGTATACTGATCTCACTTAAAGCATTGCGCTGATGAAAACTATGGATGTGTAATCTGTTGGTACAGAGCTGCCTGCGCTCGCAGCCATCCAGAGAAATGTGCGTGCAGCATTTGCACAGGGATGCTGATGGGACTACACAGCAGTGTGTTACCTATGTCTTATATGTGGAGGGTACAGCCACTGATACACATTACACACACACACACGGATCATGCACAAGGGCAATCACTATGGATGTGGCATGATGCAGAGCCTGCCATAGTGGGGGGATCAGTGGTGAACATGCATGCACCTAAAGCTGGGAGCACACAGCACTCACCTGCAGGCAGGGCCAGTCTGATCACACTCTGCACTGAAGAGGAGCCTGCGATGGCATATAGCAGCGCTCCCCCCCCTCACCGCAGAGACAGCACAGGACCCCCACACCTTACCGCAGTCACTCACACAGCAGCCAGCGATGTCCTATAGCTGGGATCAAGGCAAGCCTCTATCACAGATGCTCATGGAAGGCGCTACTGTTTGCTGGAATCAGCCAGCACCGATACAGGAGGAATTAACCCTTGTCTGCACAGAGGGAGGATGATGCCTTCAGAGAGCCAGACACAGCATCAGTTTCGTCATCCATCCCCCTTATACACAGAGACCTGCACAGCACCAGCTCCGTCATCCAAGACCTTATACACAGAGACCTGCCCAGCAACACTTCACTCATTCACATTCTTCCAGGAGCAGCGCACAAATTGCACATTGCCTGAAATACTGATAGTGAGGAGATGATGCTTTAGTTGCTTACTTTAGCCATTCATGGCATCATAGGGAAAACCCTTGCCCCTCCGCTGTTACATTGATTCACGGCAAAGTGTTTCGCAGCATTGCCAACCTGGATTTATGGTGCCACAGATCACACAGGAGGGGCTGCTTACCCTTCACATTGACATCAGCACAGAAACACTTTTATAGTGTTGTTACAGTGATGGATGCTGTGATTTAAAGTGTAACTCCACTTTTATTGAGAAAAAAGAATCCCCTATGGGTGATGAAGGTACGTTACAAGGATTTTAAAGTGACACTAAACTCAGCAGTTAAATCTTAAAAATGCATTCAATTGAGAGGGAAAGGTGGTATGTGGTTGGTCCTGATGTAGTTAGGATGGCCTCTCTTACAACTCCAGTGCAAGCACACCTGGATAGTAAAACATGGAATGGAGGGACATGAGTGTCAAGGATGTACAGCCTAGTGAAGCCATTCTCAAACAGGATTCCTGGGAACCCTAAGGTCCCTCCAAAGGTTGCTAAATTTTAATCAATTACCTTAACTATTATCTAATTTGTGTATCACTCAGTTGTAGATCCTCAAATCATCTCTGAATTGGCGCTGACACTGTCCTTCCTTCTGGAGGGTAGATACTTTTGTTCCCCATTGTGCCTGTGTGTTGTAAAGAAGTCACCACTCCAAGCTCACTCCTGTGATGGACTACAATCTCGTATTTAGTTTCTTAATTTGTATTGAGATTGTAGTCCATCATGGGAATGAGCTTGGAGTTACTTTACAACACACACAGGGACCAGAGGGAACAAAAGTAGCCCCCCTCCAGAAGGAAGGACAGTGTGACCACCAATTCAGAGATGATTTGAGGATCTACAGCTGAGTGATACACAAATAAGATACATTTGTATTTATAGTTAAGTTACTTGAATGCATTTGTCAGATTTAAGTTTAGTTTCACAAATAACTTTGTAGAAGATTCTTACCTTTTCCTATTCTAAAGAAACACCTGTGTCACAAACTGTCATTTACAGACTGATTACTGAATGGAACGATCTGGTTCATTATAACCACCTGGTGCACTTTCAGGTTCCGCATTTTGTATGTTGAATACCTAAGCGCTACAATGCTGAACAGAAAATACTTGTAGCTCAAAAAAGGACATGAGCTTCTTTTGGGGCGAGCGTTTTGAAAAATGCACACCATTGTGCAACATTTTTTCTTGCCCAGAAACTAGCTTTTCATTGGCTAAAAATAATTTAAAAAACCCACTCAAGCCTGAAAACACACACAAAGACCCCTACAGTCAAAAAACACCCCCAAAAAATGACCAAAAGATGCTCAGCTCAAGTGTAAATGAGGCCTAAGTGTTCTAATGAGGAGAATCACATGCATGCATCCCTTTAGAAGCAGTTAACCCTTAGGGAGTATCTCACTGAAAAGGAAATCCCTATTGCAAGGGATACCTGTATTTTACTTGTATCTTAGTGCAGACTTTTGGGAAAATCAGTGATCCAATCACATGAGCAGGAAGTGACATTTCTGGAGACTTTCCGTACATCAATGGTATACAGAACACCACCAGGTTGCCATAATGCATTGAATGTTTTTAGAAAAGCACAGCGGCTTCAGATTGAAATGTGAAGCTAATTTTTAACCACTTCCGGGCCGTAACATATATATACGGTGGCCCGCAGAAGTGGTATAAACAAGAACACGGCTGCTGCAGCAGCCATATTCTTGGTGTCATTTTTAACAGCCAGCGATGACAATGTACAATTGATCCGGCTTCTATACAGCCACCAGATCGTTTGTACCGTGCGGCGCTGTCCCCTCCTCCCCCCGCCGGCGCTGCCGTCAGCTTCCCTCGGGTCTCTCCCGCAATGATCGGAGAGAGATTCAGTTATCCAGCCGCTGATCTCTCCTCTGATTACTGGACCTGGAAGTGATCTGTATTACTTCACTTCTGGTGTCACTATTTTCTTTGAGTCAGGAGAAGAAGCTGGGGAAGCAGATATCTGCTTCCTCAGCTTCTTTGGGGTCCCTAGGTGACATTAGGGGTCTGACCCCTGATGCCACCATAAAGAGGACTTGTCACACCCTATCTGCTATTACATAGGGGGCTTGTTATCCCCCTACGTGATAGCAATAAGGTTAGTGTAAAAAAAAAAAGTGTTTAAAAATGTAAAAACGTAAAAAAAAATATTAGAAAAAAAAAATGCAAACATGTGTTGGTGCGCCAATGTGCAAAAAGGACAATTGCGCTACACATGTTACATATCGCCGTGAACGTCAGAGTGAGAGCAATAATTCTAGAGCCATTAATCACTGAAAACACTAAACTGATGAGCGGTAAAAGCGCTTAACATGTCCCCTATGGGAAATTTGGGGTATTGAAGTTTTTTTGCTGTCTCACGGGCAAATGCAATTTTAAGGCTTGACATGTTTGGTATCTATTTACCTGGCGTGACCCCGTCTTTGATATTTTAACAAAAAATTGGGTATTATATTATGTTTCTGTGCACTAAATTTTAATTTAGTTCTTTTTATCCTAAAAATACTGGTTTGATAAACATTTGTGCAAATACCGTGCAACATAAAAAATTGCAACTAGCATATTTTTATTCTACAGGGCCTCTGATTTTAGAAAATATATAATTGTTTGGGGGTTTGAAGCTGTTTTCTAGTCAAAAATTTATATTTTATCATGTGTGCGCAAAGAGTAAGAAAATGCTCTGGACAGCAAGTGGTTAATAACATTCAATTACAAAAATGACTTGAGTAGCAATTTCATCTGCTATATTATTTTTTTAACAAAAGTGGAGTTTTCCTTTAAGCGTTTCAGAATCCTATCAGAATGAGTCCAAACGTGACAGCTTCTCATCAGACACAGCCTCAGCACTGGTTAATACTAACAGACCAGTACACAATCACTTTTGTCATTCGTACTGCCATAGCAGGTGCTTTAGTGGGACGTTGGTCTGGAGGCAGGGGTAGTGAATATTCATGGAGGTCCCGGGAGTAAAATGTTCATCAAGCAGACGTCCAGACAGAACGGTCACTCAGTCAGTGTCTGTACCGCAGTCTGCCATTTAGGCTGCATTCACACCAGCAGCTGCACTACAACACACAGCTGCTGGTGTGTGTTCCCAGGCACAGTGCTATTGCACCATTCACAGCACATCGTGCTGTTTATTTATTTTATTATTTTTCGGTAGATACCTCCCACCCCCTCCCCAATTTACATACACGTGCATGCCTTAGGCATATGTATTTATTCGAATCACATGGCAGGGGCAGCAGGGTTGGTAGAATGCTGGCTCATGTTCAGGGCCCCACCTGTGAGTCAGGAGAACTCCACCTAGGAGTCAGTGGAGGCCAGTGCAGCAGGGAGCTGAAGGTTTGTGCAGCCTATTGTGCGGGTTGGCACATTACTGGGAGTTGTCTGGAGGTAACAGACAGTGGCCTGGAGGATTATGGCCGGAGCAGCCGTGCTGCAAGAGAAACATTTAAAGTGTTACAGGACTGGGACACTGTGAGCATTGGTGAGCCCATATCTGTTATATGCTGCCACAAGCTATTTATGTTGGACTTCCTTTTACTGCCTGCCTTTTGAACAGAAAATAAAGATGTTTTGTTAATGGAAAAGCCTGTGTGAGTGCTCTGTGAGCTCCCCAACATTACAGGGGCTAACAAGCTCCTAGGTGATTGCATTTGGAGGTGGCACTTTATTTATGGAGACATTGAAGTCTATTAGACTCCCGATTTCTCCCCTGCCCTCCAGTACAGACAATCTGTTTAACCGCCACTTTAATCCGGTTTTGACAGTCCTGAAGTAGAAAGCTCTGAGAGCACAGCGTTCCCTGCTTCATTCATCACAGAGCAGATCAGGAAATGGACTTTCCATGGTCTGCTCCCACTCTCCATCCTGACACCCTCTGCCCTGGTCTCGGGCCCCCTAGAAGAGCGGGGCGCACAAAGAATAACGACAGGGGTGGACGGAGGGCGGGTGGGGAACCAGGCCCCATATGACAGAGCTATAGAACTGAATGCACCATCCTTGGAGGCCAGTGTATCCACTGTCAGGACGCCATAACCTAGTGCAGGTTGGCAACATCAGTCCAGACAGAACCACCACTCGGCCCATGTTTGCCATATAGTGACAGCTGGTCTAAGGTTTCAAATGTGCACCAGCCTTTACTGCCCTCTGTAAAGCGATCTGTGGTTGACCGCTTTTCAGAGGGCGGTAGAGTATCGGCTGCTCTCCATTCAGGAGGCAATACGGCTACCTTCTGAATGCAGTTTCTTTTAAGTCCCAATGGGCATTTTCTATTGCAATACCACACCACAACTGTGTACCCACGCACACACCCCATTCATTTAAATGGTCGCTTTTGACGAGCGGCACCGCCTGCTAAATGCGACATGCTGTATTTTTTGTATACAGCACTGTTCAGCCTCAGTGCTAACATTACAGCAGGCAACCAGGGGGCAGTGAAACTCTCACATCAACCTCCTGGTTTTACTGCCCCCTTGCTGCCCCTATGAATGAGGCCTAATTAACGAAAACTGGACCCAAAAATTATTTTTTCCCCAACACAAGCAATAGATTCCTCAATCTCCTTTTCTGCAGCCCCAGCACTCAATGAACATGGCACTCTCAGTACAGAGACTTCCTGTCCATTCACAATATGGAGATAGTAAATATTTACTATCAACTCAGTCATGAATG